GTATAGATAGTAATGCAAAATATATAAAATAACAAATAATAGGCTGTACAATTTTCATTGCTATTATTTTTATATTAAAATTTATATTATTATTTCATTGTTATATTAAAATATAGGCTACTCAATACATGATAAAAACGGTTAAAACAAACAAACATACAGCTTTTAAACCTAAATAACCAATAGTATTTCTGAAAATGCTTTTAAAAATGTTTCAAAAGTGGGAGATTTCAGTATTGCACATGGAGCGGGTCGCCTGTCATGGTTGCTGCCATATTGAGATCACATGAGAAGCAAAACATCTTTATTTAACATATATTTTTTAGAATAAAGTGATTTGCTATTTCGGATGTGTCGTAGGAAATATCGCAAAACGTTCACTTTGGTGATGCTGCATTCTTGCAGATAGGTCTAATTCAGATCACCAACAGAAAAGAAATACTGAGTGCGTCTATAATTAAAAAAAATAATAATAATAATAATTGTGGCACTATTTCCACATTTAAGGTTAAAAAACCTTGTGTCTCACCATCATTAGGGGAGATCGATGGATCAATTACCTTGATTGAGGTTCACTGAACATCCTTTGTAGTGAAACTGGAGCCCGAGGGTCGTAGTTGTGCCTATGTAAGATTTGTGCAAGGCTCCCCCTTGCGTCTAAACTGTGTTCTGCAAAGAAACGGCTAGGCTAAATGACTGCTTTAGGTAAATGTTGAGAAAATCATACTCATAAAAGCTTGCTATAAAAGATGTCTGGAGCAATTAAAATACAGAAAGAATGCATGATATGTTTGATCCACTGGAGGTACACTAGGCCTACTAGAAATTATGCCTTTTGAAAAAGAAAAACGGCTTAAACTAGTTTGCGAACCACCCAAGACCAGCAAACTAGCTTAGGCTTGGTTAAGATTTTTCCACCAGCAGGGATGTGCTATGAAGAAAGTAATTGCTACAGAGAGGAATGAACTGTGTCCTTGTGTGACTTTCTGACTTGTGTGTTTCTGGGACTTGGCCGATTTTTAAGAGTGTACACATGATATCTTTTATTATCGGGCAAATCTTAGAGCTGTTTGGAGCATACGAGTTAATCCTTCACTGATCTAAACAAATCCTGTAAAAGAAAGCAAACCCTGCTAATGGCAGTGAGAAGCAGACACATACAGTCACTTGTACGTGGCAGTGAACTTTGGGTCCACTTTGATCTTTAAATGAGTGTTTGCTATAATGAACCTTTGCACTTTTCAGAGACTTGAAAACAAGATAAATGGCAGCTTTAATTTATTTTCACTCATTTGAAAATATGCATTACAAACGCCACTGATTAAGAATTCAATAAGAATTAAAAACTAAACAAGAATTACTAGTACTTATTTAACGTATTAAATTTGCATTACGTACACCGTAACACGTATTACATCTGGTGTAGCATTTAATAAAAAAGACGTTTTTCTTTGCAAAGTTCTTTTCCAGAAGTTTCATTAAAATCCACATACATTCTTCTGTAAGATTTTGTTGGTCAACAATAAAAACGTTGTCCACTAAAATAATATTAGCAAACAAATTGCATTACACGATATGTAGTGATAAACATACAATTTACTTTTTAATTTATTTTTAAGTAGTTGTCATGTCGCTTCATGAAATTTTGATTAGTATATTTTCAATTTTTGAATTTATATTAACTACTATTCTGCATTAAAACAGATTTATATTGATGAATGACTTATTATACAGTATTTAGTTCTTCTTCAGCACAGTTCAGTACAGTTTCCCCTGGATGGACTTCTCAATTCTCAGTGTTATATAGAGGGTCAATATCGCCCTCCAGTGGCCAATCAACGTCTTCAGTTTCACTGACACACTCATGATGAAACAAACAGCAGTCTAGTAATACTAATAATAATACTAATAATACTAATAATAATATTCTCAAATGTTAATTAAGAGCTCAGCTGACTGGTAGTAGTGTCTAGTTGACTCAACAATGAAAAATTGCTGAAAATGTACTCACCCTCAGGCCATCCAAGGTGTAAATGAGTTTGTTTCTTCATCAGAACAGATTTGGAGAAATTTAGCATTACATTACATTGTTGCTTCCTAAATCGATAAAGGGCTAACATACAAGTCCTTTATCCATAGTATTGCTTTCTTCAGTGAAAAAGTTGTCTCGTCTGAATCAGGAGAGAAATATGCACAGATCAAACTCTGTTTTCAAGCCAAAACAGATCTAAACAAATATGTTGGTGGATTTTGATATGAGAGGACAACAGATGCACTTTTTTTTTGCTGTAGGAAGCGTTATGGTTTATGGACTTCTGCATTTTTGCCAGAAGCATCAGTTTAAAGTTAATCTGCCTTAATGATGGATTTGTTTCTTACAAACACACAGCTTCTCACTTCACAGATCA